CCCAGTCGTAGCCAGCTGTGCCAGCCGCCCGTGGGTCCGTTGCCCGTCCGCCGCTATTTGAGCCGCGGGGCCTGTTACTCCTGTAGTCCGGGCGCTGTCCGGTAGCCGCTGAGCCAGTCTGCCTCCTGTTGCCCGTGTGTCTGCAGCTTCAGCCGTCGCCTCCTGTCTCCTCTCCCCTCACTCTCCCTCCTCCTCCTCACTTGCCCGTTGTGACTACCACTAGCTTTGCTTATAATTGTGAACTCTAAACTATTTCTTCTTGAACTTGTGCTCAGAATGTGTGGTGACATTGTGATCCACCCTGAGCTTGTTTTGCTTTGCCTGCTCTGCTGATTACACCCCACTTTGGCTATGGGGGTGTGTCAGAATATTATCTTATTGTTCTAGCCTGTAGTGGGGTGCTCTATAGCGAGTACAACCCTTCTAGGGTTTGCTATTTGTATCCTCATTCTTGCTAGTTCAATCCTCTTTCTTCCTTCTAATTTTGACACGCACAGCCCGGGTTTTCTCAAAAATCGACCTTCGAGGGGGTTACCACCAGATTCGCGTCAACCCGCCCGACTGCCCTAAGACCGCATTTCGCACACGCTATGGATCCTTCAAATACACCGTCATGCCGTTCGGATTGACCAACGCCCCCGCCACTTTTCAAATGACCATGAACGAAGTTTTCCGCCCGCTCTTAGATAAGTGCGTCATAGTATACATGGACGACATCCTGATTTACAGCCCTGACGAGGCAAAACATTTACAGGACATCGACGCAGTTTTTAAAAAACTGAGTGAGCACCGCCTACTGACCAAAGCGTCTAAGTGTGAGTTTTTACAGGACCGCCTGGAATTTTTGGGACACGTTATTTCAGCCGCAGGAGTGGAAATAGACCCGAAGAAAATTGCGACGATTCAAGCATGGCACGCGCCGACCAACTTGACCGGGTTGCAGAGTTTTTTGGGGTTCGTCAACTACGTGCGCCGGTTCGTCCCCGACATGGCGAAACTGACCGCCCCGTTGACTGACCTGCTGAGAAAGGGGGTTGAGTACACGTGGGGGGAGAAAGAGCAAGCTGCCTTCTCGGCCCTCAAAAACATTTTGTGCTCACCGCCCGTGCTTCACACTGCAGATCCACACCGTCCGTTCGAGCTCGTCACTGACGCAAGTGGCATCGCTGTGGGAGCAGTACTGTTGCAGGATTTCGGGAACGGCCTCCAGCCAATCGCGTACGAGTCCCGCAAGCTGCATCAACCCGAACGCAACTACCCGATACACGACCGCAAAATGTTGGCGATCGTGCACGCGTTCAAGGTTTGGCGGTGTTACCTGACTGGCGCCGACGTGACAGTACGGACAGACCACTGATCACTACAGTACTTACGCGCCCAACCGAATCTCAATCCACGACAGATTCGCTAGTTGGACTACCTCGAGTCCAACTTCCACTACACGGTTACGTACAAGAAAGGCACATCCAATATCGCCGACGCACTCACCCGCCCTACCGCCCAACTGTGAAATTTTAGAAGAAAGAAGAGAATTGCACTAGCAAGAATGAGGATACAAATAGCAAACCCTAGAAGGGTTGTACTCGCTATAGAGCACCCCACTACAGGCTAGAGCATAATATTCTGACACACCCCCATAGCCAAAGTGGGGTGTAATCAGCAGAGCAAGCAAAGCAGTACAAGCTCAGGGTGGATCACAATGTCACCACACATTCTGAGCACAAGTTCAAGAAGCAATAGTTTAAAGTTCACAATTATGAGCAAAGCTAGAGGCTATCGCAGAGGGCTAGTGTGGAGGAGGAGGGACTATGAGAGGAGAGGAGGAAGTGGGCGGCAGCTGAAGCTGCTGGCACACGGCGCAACTGGAGCAACTGGCACACGGGCAACTGGAGCAACTGGCACACTGTCAACTGGAACAACTGGCACACGGGCTACTGGAGTAACTGGCTCCGCGGCTAAAAGTAGCGGTAGACGAGCAACGGACTCACGCGCGACTGGAGCAACGGGCTCACGGGCGACTGGCACAACGGGCTCACGGGCGACTGGCGCAACGATCTCACGGGCGACTGGAGCTGCTGGCTTCTCGGCGGCGGCACAGAGAGGAGCAGTAGCAGTTGCAGCGGAAGCAACGAGGTGGTGAGCCCACCCACAGGATCGATCCAAGGGGATCGACCTGCTCTGATACCATTTGAAATTTTAGAAGAAAGAAGAGAATTGCACTAGCAAGAATGAGGATACAAATAGCAAAACCTAGAAGGGTTGTACTCGCTATAGAGCACCCCACTACAGGCTAGAGCATAATAATCTGACACCAACTCCACGCCATCCTACTCGCCCAGACCAACCCACTTTTAACAGGCCTGTTTACCCACGGATACCGCACTGACCCATTCTTCACGACCGGAAATTCACAGCAACTGGCAGAAGCTAAAGGAGTTTATTACGTAAAAACAAGCACCAACCGCATCTGGGTACCCGCGTACTCACTACTGAGGGAGCTACTACTGCAGGAGGCACACGACGGAATTACCTCGGGACATTTTGGGGTAGAAAAAACGCGACAGCAACTACAGCGGTATTACTACTGGCCAGAACTGTTGACCGACGTACAGCAGCACGTGGGCTCGTGCCCCACGTGTCAGGTGATGAAGAGCTCAAGGAAGCGGAAGGCGGGTCAATTGCAGCCGATACCACCGCCCGAGCGCGCCTGGCAGCAGGTTACCATGGACTTCGTCATAGGGTTACCTTCAAACCCTGGGAGTAACGACACGGTGATGGTCGTCGTTGAAAGGTTGACGAAGATGGCACACTTCGCTGCGTGCAAAAAGTCGATCTCAGCCGAGGAGACCGCTCGTCTGTTCATCGCGGCCATTGTTCGCCTGCACGGGATACCAGCAGCGATTATCAGCGACAGGGACACGAATTTCACCAGAAACTTCTGGAAGAACCTCTGGGAGCAGTTCGGAACCAGGCTGCAGTTCAGTTCGTCGTACCACCCCGAGACTGACGGTCAAACGGAGCGGACGAATCAGACGATGGAGCAGTTGATTCGTGCCACGTGCGACGACCCCACGACTTGGGAGCAGCAGCTGCCGCTGATCGAGTTCGCGTACAATAATGCCACGTCAGCGACGACGCAGCAGTCCCCCTTCTACCTGAACTACGGGCAAAATCCTACAGGGCCCATGACGCCGAGTCTTGACAACCCAACACCACAAGCACAGCAATTCGCCGAAATTCTGCAAGCTGCCCGCACCAGAGCCGCAGAAGCAATTAAAAAAGTAAACGCCATCGCTAAGCGCAACGCTGACCGCCACCGCCGCCCAGTCACATACCAGTCAGGGGATTACGTACTGCTCGACACGCAAAATCTGCAACTGCCCGATGTACCAAAACTTCGACCGCGCTACTGTGGCCCATTCCAAATCAGCCACATGATCACGCCAGTAACCGCGCACCTACTGTTACCGACCGACTGGTACATCAGCCCTTCGTTCCACGTCAGCTTGCTTCGCCCCTACATCCCAACCACAAGCCAACTGCCTCGCCACCGCCCGCCATCCATGACTCGCCCTGCATCGGAGCCGATCATCGAGCCCGAAAAAATCATGAGCCATTGGATTCGACACCCCACGGGACTCAAGAGGATTGAATTCCTCGTCTGCTGGAAGGATCGCACACCAACTGAGGACAGCTGGGTGCCCCTGGCCAACATCGAAAACCACCCTGCCCTGCAAGTGTACCTGAGGAGCTGGGGATTCCGCGATATACACGCACTCGCGTAGCGGAGGGGGCTTCTTGAGGGGGGGGGGGGGGGGGGGGGGGGGGGGTAGTGTAAGGAATTTTCTCGGCATTCCTTACGGAGGCCGACTACATCACGTACAGCAACAGCCGTTGTTCGCCTGTTACTGCTAACAGGGCTTCGCCGACTTCACGCACACTGTTTTCACCAAACCTCGCACTGCTGGCATGGCCGTGTCGGCCTACGCTTCGGGACTAGCCCAAGTCTTGCTTCAGCGTAGCACTAGCTAAGCTCGCACGCACCGCGTTACCGTTTGCATGTTTCGCGTATAAATGTTCGCTCATGCCTTCGCTCACATTTGGTACTCGTTTGACACCTTAGTGCAATTCTCGCTACTTTGATTCATTGCACCCGTAACACCGTTCAACATTGTGGTAGAATTTCTCTAGCGTGGAGGGAATCTGATATGTGAGTTGGGCCAGAGCCCATAAAACTCATGTCTTGTACAACCTAGGAAGATATTTCTATATATGAAAGTGTACAGCGTTGCGAAACAGAAACGAAAGGACTGTGTCTTAGGGCGTGCTACATTTTCGGTTTTTCCCAAACGGACCGGACCGTCTGAACGGTCAAAATTGGTTTTTTTTTTTTTAAACGTTTTGTTCAAGTGGGTTTCAGTTTGTTTCAGAGTGGTTAATGTCCGGACCGTACGGAAAAATCGAAAATGTAACACGCTCTTATCAATGCAATTCGCTTGCCATTTTCGGTGCAATTGCCCCGTCCATTCAACAGCATTCACGCTCCCTTCCGCCCTCACCATCCTCCGACCGACCGACCACCAACCTCTCGCTCACAGCACCGCTCCCAGCCACTCCGCGTGCGCCTCGATGAGAGGAGGTAAACCAATCAGACGCACGCAATCTGCGGTCCGGACAGAAATTTCCGAAATTTCTAGCTCCACCGCACAAAAGCCTTGCAATTCCAAGGTCTCCACGCAGTCTCGCAGGAACATATAAATTGAGCACCAGAAAAGATCTGGGCGTCAACTCTCACAACGCAACCCAAATCAGCATTCCAGCACCACACTACCTCAGACACTGATAACAACAACTCGTGCACACATTTCGTCGCACTCACCGATCACAGCGATTTTCGTTCCAATCTTAGATTGTTAAGCGAACAGCGCCTCCCTGAGCTCTCTTCAACCACTTACTAGTACTCAATCTTCGATTAAAAAAATAGTAGCTCGACACTCTTCATGGCACGCACAGCAGCTCCTTCCACGCTACTCGGGCTTGTCGCTCTGGTCCTCACAGGTGAGCCACTTCGCCAAGCCAAGCTATTCAGCACCAGAGAGCACCTCTTCACGCGCTACACATGAACAACATGTATGTCACGAACTTTCAGTCGCATTTTGTCCTCGAAACTCATCTTTCTTCGTTTTGTCATTCAATCCAGTGCTTTTGGCAACACCACGAGTCGAAGCTGGCCGATTTCTTCCCGGCGTCGGAAGTCTACCCACCAACCGTCTTCCACCCGGCTTGAATTCAGCCGTCGCGGCGGCCGTCGCAGCAGCAAGCAGCAGCAGCCCCGCAGCGGCGCTCAACTCGACGCTCTCAGGCCTCCAGTCGTCCCTCAACGGCCAGATCACATCTCTCGACGCGCTTCTCGAGAAATCGCTCGATCAGATCTCGGCGGCCCTCAGCAGCAACGCTTCCGCGGACGCTGCACTCCAGGCGCAGATATCCGCGCTAAAATCCAACCTCGCTGCTTTAAACGCGAGCCTCGTTAATCTGAACGCGCTGAACATCTCAGGGTCAAATCTGAACTTCACGGATCTGATTTCCCAGATCTCGGGGATTCGATCCAACATTTCCTCCATCAGCACCAGCATCGCCGCTCTGAACAAGGACCTGGCGGGGATAATCGGCTCGGGAGTAGGCTCGGGCGCAGGCTCGGCCTTAGGCTCACGCGTAGGCTCGGTGGGCTTGTCTAGTGCAGCCACCGCTGCGGCTTCCGCGAGCCGGAGCGCGGCGATCCGCGCGGCGGTGAGGCAGCGGCTGGCGGCTGTGACGCAGCGAGTGGCAGGGCTCAACGGGAACGTGTCCGCCCTCGCCGGGATGCTCAACGCCTTGAATTCCGCTCTCAACGGCGCTGGAGTCAATAGCAGCGTGGTGGGGAATATCGCGAATCTTCTGCCCCAACAGGCGGGCATGCTGCGTGCCGTGCTGACGTCATGCAACGGCCTGCTGTCTCTCCAAGCCGGCGCTGCTGACATTCAGATCCTCAAGATGTAAGTTGACTCTTGCTGACTCATGCTGATTCGTGTTGACTCGTGCTGACTCGTGCTGACTCGTGTTGACTCGTGCTACTCAGATCGTTCAAACCTGCTGACTCATGTTCCCTTCCACCTCCCTCCATCCACCTCCTCACCTCCCCCCCAATGCAGTGGCTCGGACTATCTGCTCACATACTACCTGTACGTAGCAGGAGTGACCAAGGCCCCGGACTCGCAGGCCATCTTCAAGGGCAACGCCTGCGGCACCGCTGCTGCTTCAGCAGCCCTCGCCCTGCCTGGCACGTGGGTGCCCATGAGCCCTGTGTCCTGGTCGCTGGCCAATGTCGTCAGGGCGTCAGCTGCTGACGTGGCGGATGTGCTGGCATCGATCCAAGGGATCACCAATGATGACCTGTACTTCGGATTCTCCGGTGCTGACGGGGCACTCTCAGGGAGAGTGATCGGTGGAAGGGTGTGACTTGTACTGCATTCCAACAAGGACAGTCTATGATGATGGGGGTGGTGTGGGAACATTGCAGAAGCACCTCTCATGCATGCACCTACACTAGGAAATACCGTATGTGCAGCTAGGTAACGTAATACATTAGGCTAGGAAAGAGAATGCTTTTGTAATGTTCCATTCCATCAGAAAGAGTTTCTTCAATGACATTAGAGTTGCTCACTAGACGAACCAACACGGCAACAAGGACAGTCGCATTTTTCATGGCCTCACTTTCAAGGCCTTGTGCTCACACGAATCCAGGAGGGCATCAAATGCAGCAGGAGAATCAAGACTTACCGTAGTAGAACTGTGCAGCAGGAGTGCTTAGAGCAGTGTCCTTCCCCACCTCCACCCGTCACACACCCTCCATTGAGCACTAACTATGGCAGCAGAGAATGAACCAACCGCAGCCGCATCTGGAGCAGCACCAGCAGCAGCGCTGCTTCACACAGAGCCCCCATCGAAGAGTACCAGCTGTGGCAGCAGGGAAAGAACCAGCTGCCGATACCCATCCCACTGACAAACAGGATTCCCCGTCAAATCAAGCACTGCCACCTGGCGCAGCCCGCCCAGGCATTGCAGCACCGTCCACAGGTTCGAATGCTGCTGAACCAGATCCACTGTTGCTGCTGCTGCTGCTGCTGCTGCTTCGGCAGACGAGGAAACTTCGTCCCCCGTGCTGTTACTTGGCATGTTCCAAGAGGGGAACCGGTTGCATCGTGGGGAGGGGTGGCAGTAGCGGTGGCGGTCAACTGGTTTGCCTCCCAGGAGGTTGTGAGCCAGGGAGAGAGCGCGGAGGGCGGGCAGGTGGGCGAGAGGAGCGATGGCTGATGAGAAGGCGATGCTGTTGTGAGAGAGGTCCAGGACTTGCAGATTCTGAAGCGCCTCAAAACCTGGAGGATGGAAGGGGGAGGGGATGGGAGGGAACAGATGGGAGAAGTGAACAGACGGGAGGAGAGGGGAACAGATGGGGGGGGGGAGGGAAGCAACCATGGAGAGGGGTGGCAATATTGGTGGTGGCGGGAGCATCGTGGGGAGGGGTGGCAGTAGCGGTGGCGGTCGACTGGTTTGGCTCCCAGGAGGTTGTGGGCGAGGGAGAGAGTGCGGAGGGCGGGCAGGTGGGCGAGAGGAGCGATGGCTGAGGAGAAGGCGATGTGGTTGTGGGAGAGGTCCAGCACTTGCAGATTCTGAAGCGCCTCGAATCCTGGGGGGGTTGGGCGGAGGGAGCTTGCGCAGATAAGTGTTGGGATGTTACCAGAGCATGCAGAGAGGGGAGGTGGGCGAGAGGAGCGGCGCACCTGTGAGGGTGGAGATGCGGTTGTGGTCGAGGAGCAGCGTGGAGACTGGCAGCAGACTGCTGCAGGTGTTGTGGTGCGGTTGTGTGCGATTCTTTTGTGACTACTATTTGGGCGACACACCTGTGAGGGTGGAGATGCGGTTGTGGTCGAGGAGCAGCGTGGAGACTGGCAGCAGGCGGTGGGGCGCTGGCAGGCAGGAGAGGTGCCGATGGGACAGACACACTGTGGTGGTGGTGGTGCTGCTGCTGGTGGTGCTGCTGCTGCTGCTGCTGGAGGTGTTGGTTGTGTTTATTGTGGTGGGTGTGTCCTGATGGGGTGAATTGGAGATGGGGGCAATGGGAGGAGGTGCAAAGATGTGTGAGACAAACGAGGGGACAAGATTGAAAACCTAAGGTCCGGTTAGACACACACGGGCTTTCACCCCCAGGTGAGCGCTCACCCCCGACGTGGGGCACTCACTCACCCCCACGTGGGGCACTCACTCACTCCCACGTGGGGCACTCACTCACTCCCACGTGGGGCACTCACTCACCCCCACGTGGGGCACTCACTCACTCCCACGTGGGGCACTCACTCACCCCCACGTGGGGCACTCACTCACTCCCACGTGGGGCACTCACTCACCCCCACATGGGACACTCACTCACCCCCACGTGGGGCACTCATTCACCCCCACATGGGACACTCACTCACCCCCACGTGGGGCACTCACTCACCCCCACGTGGGACACTCACTCAACCCCACGTGGGACACTCATCCAAACACCCTCACCTCATTCACACACCCTCCTCACCTCCTCTCCCTCCAGTGCTTCTAGCAGGTCCCGGTAATACTCCTGGTGATATGGACCAATCCCCACCAGCCAATGCTGTTGCTGTTCCTCACCTCATTCACAACCCCAATTCTTGCACACACACCCTCACCTTTTCACACACTCTCCTTACACACACCCTTACTCACCTCATCCCCCTCCAGCGCTTCTAGCAGGTCCCGGTAATACTCCTTGTAGTATGGATCGACCCCCACCTTTTGACCAGAGTCGACACAGACATCATGCTCCTCTTAGACACACACCCTTACTCACCTCATCCCCCTCCAGCGCTTCTAGTAGGTCTCGGTAATACTCCTTGTGGTATGGGTCAATCCCCACCAGCCGTCGAAGCAACGACCGAACCTCTTCACAAGCCTCGGCATCTTGCCGAGCCTGCACGGGTAGGTTCGGCAAGAGGTGGTGGAGCTGGCGGCGTGTGGAGAGGAGGCGGGCGAGAGAGAGGAGAGCCCACTTGCTGGAAGAGCGAGGAGAGGGGGGGGGGGGGGGAAGGGGTGGAGGGGGGAGGGGGGAGAGTAGGAGGACATTTGACTCAATGAGTGGAGAGGAGGCGGGAGAGAGAGAGGAGAGCCCACTTGCTGGAAGACGATGGTTGAAGGGTTGGAAAGGGGCGGAAGCAGGGAGGGGGGAATGGGGGATTGTTTCAGTTGACTCAAGAAGTGGAGAACAGGTGGGCGAAGGAGGGGATAGCTAACTTGCTGCAAGCAAGGGGGAGCAGGAAGGGAAGGGGAGCGGGGTTTTGGGTTTGAGAGTGCGAGAGAGGAACCGAAGCTGGAAGCAGGAGGAAAGGAGACGGGATACGAGAAATGGGTTGAGCTATTCTTCTTGGTGTTGGAGGGACCACACCACACAGGCACGGCATGGTCCAAGTCACACGACACATCGCACTGCATACCACGCACACACCTGTCTGGTTCCAGGTCAATGAGCTCACGACACATGTCAATCTCCCGTTGGACCACATCCACTCGCCACTGCTCGCTCCCTCCTGCAGCACCACCAGCACTAGCGGCAGCACCACTGGCAGCAGCATCGCCATCAGCAGCAGCAGGCGCAGCAGGAGCAGGAGCAGCAGCAGCAGCAGGGGGAGGAGGCGAAGGGGAGGAGGAGGGCCAGCGGAAGTTGGACCAGTCATGAGTGGGGAAGTTCACGGGCGGCACAGTCGCTTGCGAGTGAGTGCCATTGGTCTCAGAAACATCCATCTGTGGCAGAATCAACGAGCTTCCTTGCAGCTGTAGCGTGAAGCTGCTGCTGCCGTTGCCATCGTTGCTGCAGGTTCTGTCCGTGTGGGGGAGCAGGAGGGACTGGCAAGTGGCAGCAGAGCGGATGGCAGATGGATGGGCGAACACCCACGAGACCAGGATGGTGGGTGATGAGGCAGCCGCACCTGTTTCCCTCCCACCCGCAGAAGCAGCAGAAGAAGCAGCATCAGTAGCTGCAGTGAAAGCAGCATCAGTAGCTGCAGTGGAAGCAGCAGCTGCTCTAACTTCATGAGATGTGGAGCAAACGACTTGCGCCATCCATACAGACGCACTCTTCGGCCCCACATCACCGCCCGTTTCCCTCTCACAGCCAGACTGCCGCCCGGAAAGCCACGCCTCTTCGCCCCCCACAGCCCTCCACTCGCCCACCTCCATCCCAGCCCCCATTAGAGTCACACTCTCTCTTGTCACCCCCACCACAGGTTCGGAGAACACCAGCACCGCCGACATCCGAACCTGCCTCGGAGCTCTGGGAGAAGATTCGGAAACGCCCTCCCCAGCTGCAGAATCGCCTCCAGAAGATTTCTCAGGTGGATTTTCAGGTGAGGAGTAGCAGACAGTGCTTCCAGGCGAAGGCCAGGAGGAGAGGAGGCGGGGCGGCAGGGGCGGCAGGATCTGCTGCAGCAGCCAATGCTGGTACATCCACCCACTCTGATCCTCTGGCTCCGTAAAGAAGGCCTGGCGCACCAACTCACACTCCTCCTCCAATGCTGCCTGCGGCAACCCCTTTGCCTCTGGTGCAGTGGGCGTGGTTGGTGGTGGTGGGCACGCGTGGAGCATTGGTAGCAGCTTGCTGTTGGGCGGAGCGAAAGGGGGAAGAGGGAACGCAAAGGGGTTGAGAGCGGAGGGGAAGAAAACTAGGGCGGCAGGGGCAGCAGGGGCGGCAGGGGCGGCAGGGGCGGCAGGATCTGCTGCAGCAGCCAGTGCTGATACATCCACCCGCTCTGGTCGTCAGGCTCGGTGAAGAAGGCCTGCCGCACCAACTCACAGGGCTGCCTGGGATAGTCCTGGCTAAGCAATATTAGAGAGTTCTAAAAAATCGCTCACACGGTTTAACTCACAGGGCTGCCTGGGACAGCCCTGGCTTGGACGCAGCTGTTTCTCTCCTCCCTCCTCCCCTGCCTCGTCTCACGTCCTGCTGTGCCACGCGCTGTAGTTGCTGAAGTTGGCGCTGATTCGATTTGATGCATGGTGAAGAGCATAAGGCCAGGTCCTTGGTTGCTCACAGACGAAAGAAGTTGGTCAGGTCCACCCTATACCTCCTAGCACCCTTTGAGCAGGCGTGTCCTAGCTGAATGACTCACCTGCGGCTGTGCCACGCGCTGTAGTTGCTGAAGTTGGCGTTGATTCGCTCCATGGTGAAACCCAAGTCCTTGGATGGTGACATGCGGGCCACATGTGACATGAACCTGGTTGCATGCATGGTTGGGTTGGGATGGGCACGGGCAGCATGAGTGACGAAGCAAGGACGGTACTGAGTGGAACGGAAACAAGGAGAGGGTTTCTGAGAGGTCCATGAGATGGGTGGAACTGAGAAGATGAGATGGGTGGAACTGAGAAGATGCGATGGGTGGAACTGGATGGTG